AAGTAGACTTTTCAACACCTCAAGAGAAGGATAAAAGTCCGGATAACCCAAGCAACTCGTCCTGCAACTGAACTCAACCTGCCCTGACAAGCTGAGAAGCACCGTACGGTCATCTTGACGATATCTTTGGAATCATCAGAAAGTTTATCGTAGAAATCCTTACGCAGCTTTAAAATAAAGACTTTCATCTGGTGACCAGACGCTATATCATTCAATACAAGCAGTGCTATTAGCCCGTGCTTTGACATCGGATAGTGCCACACCATTCACATCATATGATCCGGTGTTGGCTGGCTCCCCGTATGACTACTTTCCAGGCACAAGGCCCGAGTGACTTATGGGACCACACTTCCCGAGCTAACTATTTATTTTTTGTGGTAAGTGAAGAAATTTTGAAATCTCAAGTGTAAATTCCATGCGTTTACTCTGTATGTTTAGACTAGTATCAGATAAAAATTCTCCCTCCATTAGCAATGAGTATTTCTCTTCAGTCTTGTATCAGGTAGCACTTCAGGAATACATGTAGCTTAGTAATGTGTGGTCCCAGTAGATGTATAGGTTATCAAAATGAATTGATGCATACAGCATGCATAGTAGATCTCGTTTTCTCAACGTTATGCAAAGTTCTACCACACAAGAATAGGCCCCTTAAAATGTAACGCTTCCTAAAAGCTAAACAAGGCTCGAAGTACATTCGTTTGCGAACAAATCGGGTTTTGACGGGAGACTCAACTGATTTCTGCTGAATTCCAATTTCTTGATGTTCTTCAGCTGAAGGCGCACTAGACAGCATATTGTTTTTCACCTGGCACGGTATTCGACATATAAGGAATATTTTCTTGAAGGAACGCACTACTCATAAGGATGTGAGACCAAACTCCTCCGGGGAGAAGTTGTTCAGAGGCTTAAAGAGTCTACTCACCCTCAGCCTGAAGTAACTTTCATTGAACAGTGAAAAAATCAAGATCGTTAGACAAAAAAATTAGCGCGAAGTCATTGTCGGTTCTCGTAATTCTTTGAGATTCTATTGACTACATTTGCGCGAACGGTTTTGTCTGATTCACATGAGCTTCCTTGTTGAAAAGAATTGCGGAACACAGACCCCCGGGGAACCGTGAAAAAGAAACTGATGTTTATCTGTCATCATTCAGAACAAATGATCTCACACCAGTTGTTGAAGGATCTGGGAACTACAGAACACTGAAAATACCTTGAAAGATAAACTCATAGAAATTATAAAATTGACATCGACGGAGCGAAAATAATCCATTTCTTAATTGGGTCCCCATCATTTTTTTGAATAGTACAATATTCATAAGAGTGTCATGAACTGGAGTTTAAGCTGAGTCTCCAGCTAACAGGACCCCTGCCACTTATCGAAGTTTCTACAGCATACATTGGCAGGACTATGTGAATAGATGCGATCTAATTGAACTATTCACATATGGCCATTCATGCTTCGTGACCTGCTTTGCACTCATTAGGTTCTATGCGAAGTGCACTAATTGGGCCAACCATCCTCTGTCTACACATCTCTGAAACAAGCCGAATAATTAGCACGATGTGAATAGCATGTTATGTGGAACCAGAAAGGGTTGTTCTAATGATAAAACTTCAACGCCATTCGGTCGTACACAGAGGTCAGACATTCCTATCTATCTATCTGTACTTGTATCAATAAGCAATATACCCAGGCATGTTCTAGTCTGCTCTCCCTTTTGTTGACCATAGGTACACTTGGGTTTTTAGCTTCAAGTTTTACAAACCCTCGAAGTCCTTCAAGCAGCTGGATAGCAGCAACGTTGGGCACATCGTAGAATCCACGTAAAGGTGTCTGCAGTAGCATGACAGCCTTTAGATTGTATTCTCCCAGATAACTGCTTGCCGAATCGCTTGTGCACTTCAGGCGCACGGGTTTGACTCAGAAAATTGTAATCAATGGTTAAGCTGGACGCCAGCTGTTCGATCCTACCGCGACCATGTGTTCTCCTTTCTATTGTGTATGCTTTACATCCCATTTGAAGATTGGTAACCTATCCTCTAATTTCTGTCACAACCTTACAATGTTTGGTTCCGCTGCATTTAGGAAGCGAACGCTGAGTTCTCGTCTCTTCAATGTGATCATCTTTCAAAAAACATGTTTAAGAGAGCATGGCTTACCTTTTCCCGCGGCGATTGTCTGCAATCACGCATAACGGTCGGCCAGAAAAGTTTAAATACCGTAGAATATTGCCAATATATATATCTGTGACTGTACACTTCTTTGTTCGTATTCTGAATTTGAATTTAAAGCATGTCTGAGGGGCTGTATAAAGTGTCATAAACTGAGATTACTTTTCGAAAAAGTTTGGTGACAATCGGCAGATTTATTGCTGGACAACGTTTCGCTTTTGACACAAAAGCTTCGTCAGGCCAAGTGACTAGGTTCCGAGGTTGATCGAGATTTAAGGCGGAAGGAGAACCAATCAGCTAAGTCAAGCTAAATCTCTGTTGGGTGTCGGCCGAGGGATGTTAGTGTGTGAGATTACTTTTGTCTAAGCTACAGAAACCTATGTGTAGTAATCGTACACGGTATGTCTTTAACTTATCTCAGGCGGTGATTTTTTTGGGTCTTCGTTACGTGAAGATTGGCCACTACCTCAAATGATGAGTAAATTTTCCGACTGTTGATAGTTCGACACACAATTCCAAGATAAAACCCTACCTCACACGACTTTCTACTCATTGGCTGTGTTCTAGAAGGTTCTGAGGCCAAATTTTCCCAACCTGTAAAGAGAAATCGTTCTTGATTTCAGTAATTTCACTCTAAAGTCGTCGGTTCTGAGCGATAGGCACAGCAGACAAGGCAAAAGTTACAAAGTTAACCGTTTGCTTCTTACAATCTCAAAAGACTGGAACAATACACTAATTTGCAATTTTGTTAAAGGGAGACTTGGCGGAAACCCGGCTGCATTCTTCGTTCATGATATTTTTTTCAACTAAAGAGTTTTCATCAACCTTAAGAGAGATGTGCTTCGTTAGTAAAGTACACGTGGAGGTAGGTTTTCGACCAAATGGCTAAGAATATACAAGCTGTGTGGAAAGTTATCACACACTAGGTCCGTAGACTTCTTGTAAAACACTTGGACAGGTTACTACGTGTGTATTTGGCTCAGACCTTTTAAGGTATGACCAAAAATGTGTGCAGTCAGAGTGAACGAGAGTTATGTTGCGCGTCAAATGCATTGATCACAAATACTGAAATGGATATTCTTGATGAACACACAACTAAGTCACTCTAGCAAAGTCGCTTAACCTCCCTGTGGCCGGTTTGGTGCCTTTTTTATTCTGGTCTTGAAGAAGAATGTTCTTCTACACTCTTCTGAGAATGTTGGACCAACTTTCTCCAAGCGCTTTTTCTGGCAAGTGTGTAAATTCAGCTATCACTCGGTGCCATGCCGTGATTGACACGCTGTCACAAGGGGGTGCTTGCTGAATAGCACCGATGAGAATACCTGCTTGATGTTCACCTTTAGAGCAGTCCGCGTTCGAGGCCTCTAGAGCCTCTTCTGCTTTTACCACCATGGAAAAGTCACAAGTTTTGAGAGTCTGTAGTCATACGACTGTCAAGTGATCAACTTCACGAGTCTCTTTCACAATAGACTTGTCATCCTCCTGAAGTATGTCGGGGTGACGCTGTGAACATCTACGAGTGAAGGTGCCCTACATATTTATCTTGGGCACGATTATAAGGTAGTCAGATGGAGTAAACTCTCGATGGATTTTGAAATACCCTTAGTACGTATAAACTGCAAAACCCTTTCGGTGCATAGCTGCTGCGCAACTCGAATTAGGGTTTATCATAGCTAAAAACGCTCCAGTCATTCATGATGAAAGGAAGTGTGATTATTGCCTGATCTATGCAGCAGATGCTTTCGTCTAGATATTTGTAGGCTGCTCTCACACAAGTATAGACGGAGCATTTCAGTCGCATTGATGTCTTCAGTCTTCATCCAGTTTGGAAGCCATCAGTGATGATATACATTGTGGAAACGAGAGTTCATCCCATTTCGGTGCAGTCGCAAATAGGACCTGGTCCCGACCACCTCAGCAAAGCACACCAAACTACAGCATTGGGAGAGTAGCGGACAAACAGGAGAAGCAAAAAACATTACTGCATCATCGCGGATGAGTCATTGTCATTCAACAGATAATAAACAGCAAATGTTGTGAAAAGAATGTCCTTGGGTCTTGGATAAACGGTCGCTGGTGATTGCTGCTTGGAATCAGAACGATCGACTGAAAATACCTAATGAAAGTAATAGGATGGAGTGCAAAGTAGTCGATACATGTTCAGTTCGCAAATGAAACGGTGAGTTATAAACAATGGATTCGTGTTTAAGTTCCACACAACTGGTCAGAATCTGAGGACTAGTTCCGACAGAGCAGAGAAATACAATTTTTTTCGTGTCACATTCGGACCGGCAAACAAATTTTCTCCATCAGCGTTGTTGAATGCATTTTGCATCCTAAGAAGTTCGCGTTGAGTTGCGCGCAAAGCATTGTGACGGAAGCCGCCGAAAGACGAGGTTTCTGTTTTGTGATAAACTACTGAATTCTAGAGCTTTACGCGCTTCACACTGCAGCTCATTGATGCATATCAAAGTCGCACTCAAAATTTGGACTCCATTGAGGGAGCTGTAGAGATGGATAACAAGCCACCGTGGATTTAAGAAGCCACCGTTAGTTCACAGTTTTCTTTATATGACTGAACAACCGCGGAAATTTTTCACAACAATAAGGGTTACTTTGTGCTCATATGGCAAAAGAGCAGTATGGGGAAGAGTACAACAAGTGGGTTTCAAGCGTGTGTCACGCAAGCTGACTGGGAAGTCCTGACTGGTGGGCCGATCGATCGCCACAACCAGGACAGTCACTGGGTCGTCGTTCGATGAGACGGGCACACCAATCACATCGCTCAAGTGTGAACACGTTTCGCCTGTTCAGACGTGAAAATTCAGATGCGTCCAACGTGTGTTGGAGGAGTTGCAGTTGCACACTCGCCTCGCATGTCACATATCTGGGGTTCGAACCCCGACACGGCCATTGGATATGCACTGCTGATGAGCTCTACTAAGAGCGAAACTCGAGTTCGAGCCCCCCTTTGGTGTGGACTCACCGGAATAATTACGCCAGAACAGGAGGACGACCGTTCAAACGAGAGTGGTGTGACTATGAACAATAGAATACTATCGAGAGCAACGAAGAGTGAATTTCCTGCGAAGTAACTGGTATTCATTGCTTTTTTCCACACTCTGGTCTCGTAATATGAAATATCTTATAGAAGAAATTGGTCTCGTTTTTCGGTTGCAGTTTGTGTTCACAGTACTCTACTGGAGATTCAATACATCGCTCAGAATGATTTTGAATGACTTTCCAAATAGAACTCTTATTGCAGTTTTGGAGCAGATGGGATGCCTTAATCACAGGTCAGGCGCGGGATGGATTCCGTTGTTGATGTCCCCGGTTTTGTACTCATTCACGTCCGACCATTCTGACAGCGCATGGAAATTATTAAAGTTAAAAAGCGAAAAATGTGGCTTCAAAGACTCAAAGTGTTATGAAACCAGGTCTCGGGAAGCGTATTGGTCTCAAATCCTTTGATGTTTCTCAGGAGACCAATCACTGTCTTGCTTGTTTCTGTTGCAGTTGAACCCATTAGGTCACTCAGCTCACCCGTATCACAGTTTTCGTATTTAGTTGATGAGTCACAACTGAGAGAACACCAAAAGCTGTTGTGTGGCGGATTCATAAAGGGCTATCAGTTAATGAGAATCTCGAACCCTCGAAACCTGTTTGATGTACTAACGTTCATTTACTTCACAACCTCATACAGGCCATCGCGTCTAAGCTGATAAATCCTGAGAATTTTCTGCACAGTGGCCATCTACTGACTGTGTTTCGCTGAACACACCAATCAGTACGCACTTCATACTTCATGCAGCGGTCTACACAGCGAAATATTTTGTGTTCCATCAACAACCCATCTTGCCACTAAAATCCAAAGATACTTGTCAGATTGACTGCCGCGACATCTTTAGCGAGCAAAGATAGGCGCATACATAGCGAGTGATGCGAGTGATCGATAAGTTAAGGTCTGCTGTTTTTAGTGTGTGAGCAAAGTCATGCATGCAAATCAATACGTGAGGCGGACACAGACAACCATGCTGGAACCAGTCTGCAACTGCAAGAGTAGTAAACTACATCTGATAACTAGCGAATACACACTCATTTGCAAACTAATTTGATCTTTCGAGTGACTCACCTGGAACCCAGCTGAATCTCTCGTTTGTGATGTTCTCAGGCAACTGAACATCGATCAGCCGATCTCAAGCATCCAGAAGTTGTAGGTTGTACTCATGTCGCACAGAGCGTAAACTGTTCAAGTATGTTATACCGGTCTCAGAAAAGATAAGTAGCTGTATTCGAATCCCATGCGTACGGTGTTTTATGTTTACTCACTTCTATGCACTCTCAGGAAGTGCACATGTATCGCTCACCATTGGGACTCACAGGAAGGTCTAATGCACGGTCCTACGAGGATGTGAAAACACATCTTGTCTTTTTGTTATCTGATTATTGTGAATGTTCTCCTTGAACTCACCACACCAGATAACCTATCATTTTGAATTACGGACCACACCGCGCGTGCTTCGATTTATAGCCCCGGCGCAGATTCCTGTGGGCTGACCGCTCTTTGCCTCTTAAGATAGTATCGTAACTGTATACTAAACCCAGCGAAATATGGACCATTGTGTTATCGGCCGTGAAAGCCCTATTACTGTCCTATGTGCCTGTGCCCTCTGGCTACCGCAGTGAACCGTAAAGAATTAAGTACACCAGCGTCCAGTGTCATGAAGAGTACCCATGGAGAGAGTAGTTGGGTGGGAAAATCTGAGAGGCCAAACGTTGGAACAGCAACATTCAATACCAAAGACATTTGATTAGAGAATTCAGTTCAGCTGCAGAATTAGTGAAGGTATTTAGACATCCAAGGTCAGCTGGTACCGTTACTCGGAGAACCACGCCCTACCCCCTGTTACATATCCGGCTACAACATTGAATTGGTGGCATAACGTGAAATCTCGCGGTAGCATCTATTCTGTTCCAATTCAAGTCCTGTATTTTGAGAGCACAAACCAACTTTCCTGACATGTTCGCGGAAGGCTTTCAGTGCAGTAGTACACCGGATTAAATGGCAAGGTATAGTTTCGAAACCATTTTCATGCGCATACGAACAGTGAGCGATCTACTTACGGCTTTTTGGAGAATAGCGTAGACTGAAATTCCATGCGAGATTTTCAGCCGTTGGCTCCTTTAGGGCTTGTAACAACCTTATCACACTAATCCACGTATACTTTTGACCTACGTCGCTTGGATACCCCAAGATGAGTAAGACACATGCACAAAACCATTCTTTTGACCCAGGTTTCTGGGTGACATGACTTTCTGTATGGCACCGGCAAACTAGTCCAACGCAGTGCAAACAAGATTGTAGGGTTCAACATTATCCATTGTGAGAGCAAGCTTCCCTTCTGACAACAGAATGGACAGAGCTCCGATATATCGTAACCCCGGGTGGCAAGACTATTGACCTAAATCAACGAACCGTGAGTGCTCTACTTTGTTGATTGTTACGTGGAAAGTCAACCCTTCTAGGTCTTCAGATCCCAGGTGTTATGTTGTGATAAAGCATCACTACTTACCCTGACATACTTTTTTTCAAATTTGAGCTAAATGCTAAAACTTTCTAGTGGATCTAAAATTCATTTTTTTCTACACCAAGATAGAAACATGTACCGTTTCGTAACAGATCATTCAGTGTCCGCAATTGAGCGTATACGATGACATGCACTGTCTGCTTTGGCGTTTAAACAACAAAGCTAGTTTTCATCGCTAGCTGCCTGTTTACCGTTCATCGTAGTAATTAATCAGGGGAACAGTGTTCAAGGGTTGCAAACCGTATATAGCCGAAGCCCTTTTCCAACTCGTAGTGACGTTTAAACAAATCGTTCAGCTATAGCACCCTTTCGGTGCCTAGCTGCCATGCCACAAGAAGGAGTCACCAGGGCTGGGATACTGCCAGGTTGCTCAAGCCTAGATAAGGGAAGTCAAGAAGCAGAGGTCGGCTTCGAACCACGGACCTTCCTATCAGTAAATTCGCGCTCTTACCACTTGGTCCATCTCGCTTACAGGATCGCCAATGGCAATTAAAAGCTGCACGGGATAGAAGAATCATGCTGGTTCATAAACTGATTATCCTTGAATGCAAATGGGACAATCAACGGTGTTTTGTGACGCTTGTACTTCAAAAACGGACAATCAAACCTGTTAGACAACGGATATTTACCTGATTTTATCGCATTCCGTTTTATGCGGCGAAATAAAAGCATGAACAATTCAACTGTTTGCGCGATAACCGATTTGCAACAGCTCCACTACTAGAAAAGTCAGTTCATAATCGAGGGAGAATTGTGCAGCCCTGGAGTAAATTAATTTCAAACTCTCCGCAATGCACTCAAAGGTGAACATCAACACCGGTGCCACAGCTGAGGAACCAATGCTGAAAAACAAGGATTAATTTACGAGAAATACACTCATTTGCAAACCAGTTTGGTTTTCACGAGAGGCCAGATTGATTTGCAAATGAATATATTTCTCGAAAACAGTCTAATTCGGGTTCAAGTAGAACATAAGGTTGCTGGAAACTCGGGGACTGTGCCTACCTGATGAGCCCCAAGAATGGCGAAACCGGTAGTGGACTGTCGAAGAGTTTGCAGCAACCTAGTGAGTAGTTTCCTTCATGAAAAAAGATTGATTTATTCAAATGAGGCGCGCATTTTGGAAGACCACGAAAGTGCTTATAGGTGGGACCTGTCGCTACCAGCCTATAAGTCGCTCTCTGTTTCGTTAGTACTTCAGTGCATGCACAGAATGATCTGTGCATTGGATTTCGGTGCGTATCTAGATGCAGTAGAAGCTCGATATTTACGTCTTAGCTAGGTTAAAATTAACGGAATACTTGGGTGAACGCACCAACTGTGACCCGAAAATATTATCGAGCGGGCAACACCCTCTTCATCCAGCTCTACTACGAATTCTTACCTATGGGGACCCGAAATCTTACTAAATTCTGATTTGTTACATCAAATGCACCTATCAAGCCCTCCCCCCGATAGAATTACTTGTTTTGGGTTGCATTTGTACTACTTTAATGATGTGTTGATTTATATACCCAGTACGAGTTAGTAGGCGAAAAAACTAATCTCTTGAGGTAGATGGTTATTTCCGACGTGGATCGAATAAAGCACCTGTAGCTCAACTGAGTAGCCTAAACTAACTAGATGTCGGATGAGTCTCAGTGTCCAAGAAAGTCGTGGACAGTCCGAATCATAGTTGAAACAAGATTCTACGCAAAGCGAACAGTATGACATATGTCTCCAAAACCCTTGGAAAAATTGGACATCACTTGGTCCGCAAGGGGTGTTTGCTCGTGAAATTGAAAACTCTGTTTAAAGCAAGTGACTGTCTCATTACTTGCCACGTGTTTGGACTCGACCGTAAGAGAAATCAAACCACAGTAATTGCGGTAAAACGTTTCCAAATCATAACCAGCATCAGGTGACAAGCACAGCAGCATCAGCTTGCCTATTAAAAAGCAGTAACCGGTATCTTCAAATCAGCAATGATAAAATCTTGTATGACTGGTAGTGCTGCTTGTCGTGAAAATACACTTAAGTGTTGACATAACACAATTACCACTGTTTGGAGTCACTCGGAGCCGACCGTAGGAAATCCACCCGGATGTGTGACAGAATGTTCTTGCCTTACGGAGATAACTACATCCCCATTTGCAAAAAAATCAGTTTTGCGAAAGACTCACCTGGAACCTAGCTGAATCTCTCGTTTGTGATGTTTCCAGGCAACTGAATGTGCTGCACAAGGCCGCCTCATGTTTCAGCTGCTACGAAATGCAAGATATCGTGATACGTGTATAGACGTGATGCACTACTGAAATCTTAACATCGACCTAGTTGACCACCCAAATTCCTCAATGATCGAAGCTGAGTAACAAAGACTTCGGGCTTATGTCAGTCAGCCGAGATCATCCATCGAACCACTACAATACAATGAAGAACTCTTCAAATCGGTCATGCTGACAAATTAGTCAACCATGAATTGCCATGTTACTTATTTTGGCTACGAGTGAAGCTATTCGAATATATTTTGCTGTTTGGTAGAAGTCGGACGATTGAAAAAGGGTCAAACCAAGTCTTCGTCTCACACCGTGTGTCGACAGTGTGTAGCGAGGTAGTAGATGCGAACAAGATGAATACTTGGCCTGACGAAGCTTTCGTGTCAAAAGCGAAACGTTGTCCAGCAATGACTCTACCGATTTTTAGCAAACTTTTCCGAAAAAATGGCAGTAACAATTGATACAGCTTGGATACAGCTTGTTCTAAGATGTATGAAAAGACACCTGCTACGTAAATTCAAGCGTTTTAACTTCGCGCGTCCCTGACTTGAGTCCGACGCTCTTCCAGATACCGTCACCAGTCAACTACGGTTCCCATGTTTGGGTTCCTCTCCTGGATGTCGTCTTGGTCCAACACAGCCAAGTATTCCGTAGGCTATATGTTTTCTACGGGTTTGCAATAGACCGCCAAATGCCAGGTTCTAGCTGGATCCAGTACATGCTGAGAAATCTGCCGAGGTAGACGACAGCGAGGCATTCCCTGGGTATGAGTGGACCAGCGTAGTTGCTACTGTATTGAAAATGATATTGGTGGCCCACAACAAGCACACAACAGTGAGCTTCGTCTTTGCTAATTCACTGGTCCCAACAGGTGCACGTACTGTTTGCTGTGTCAGCATGGTTGATCAGAAACGATTACTGATTGAACAATCTCACATGGACACGTCAGGTTTTGCATCCGAAAAATAGCCGGGCGTGTATGGAGGTATCGTACACAGTTTGCAGATTATATCTAGTTGCCACGATGGAATGACACGCGAAGGCTGGGGGAGGGTATTTGTGATTCGAGTAAAAATTCCATCCATCAAATTTGAAACGAAGTCTTGGTTAGGGGAATTTCTCCACGCCTTCCAGAATCACCGTCAGAACTGATTCAATGTAAGGGACGAACAGTCAAACATCAGTTCACTATTTTTGCGGAGGAAGCCTATATCCGGAGCGACGTGCAGGTGATGATTTTATCAGCACCAAATGGATTTACAAACCAAGCTTATATCGTTTGTGTATTCCAACTCCCCAAGCAGTTCCACTGGGATTAATGTCACCACAGTATTCTTTATGGCGCCAAAATTCCTTTCCGTGGAAAAAGTGAGTAGAAGTGGTAGATATATATGTCCCATTTCGCTTGGAACATCTAAATATGAGATTTCTCCTCGACCCGTGTCAGTACACACGTATGGGTGGGCGTCCTTTAACAATCACCTACAGATATCCGGACATCTCTCGCTTTGTTTTGAAGATGTGTTGCTACCGGATGCGAACTACATCACGTTAGGATGGAAACAGGTAGATATTCTGCCATGCGGCAACTTACGCACTACCAAGGGTCGACCATTTGTGATATTCACTAGTCACATGCCTCCTCTACTCGCTTTTCGACACCACTCATACAACTCTCCTGCAAATTTCATGGTGCGATTTCCCACATACCTGACACAGTTATGGCAAACCGAGTCACAGGCGTGCCCGGACTTAGCCCCAAGACCATATCCTGAACGTTTAAGGAACTTTGGGCCTAGGCAACCCGGCAACAGTCACCATCGGTTTGACAGTGATCAGTTTCGTGACTTAGCAATCGGAAAGCAATCAGGTGAACATTCCGAACCTCTCCAGTGTGATGCCGTGAATGAGGTTACTTCTGGGTAAATTGATTGTAACTAGAAAGAGATGACAGTTATTATGTGTGACGCTGGAGACTCAGCATGTTTCCCATCGCACACATACTAACAGCGGTCGTTATCACTGTGTACCTTGGGAACCACGGTGCGATTCAGTTGGATGGCTTTTAGGACATCAACACAAACGAAGTTATTGCGAATGGGGAATCGTAGTGAAACCAGCAAGCTCAAAGAATGGGAGTGGAGTGGAATGCACGGAAGCTGTTCCAGTTAGCTCGCAAAATAGGATTCAAGTCAATTTCCACCGGTGAACTAGTCAAATAAAGCAATGAAAATCTAACACTTGATGAAAGCTGGTGCCCGATCGCCGGTCAGAATATTTTCAAAAGTTGAGCTACACATCGTGAAGAGACTGAAACTCATCGTGGTGTGACAGTGTGTGTACCTGAGTAATACGCTGCGCTGTACAGGAACGTGCCCATTCAACATTCATAGAGTTCATCCTGCCAAAGTGGTAGGTGGATAGAGGTCATACCAATGGTTTCCTGGCTTTCCAGGTTGGAGGCTGGAAGAAGTGTAGCGATTCGGTCTGCTCGACTCGTCTCAAGCGGACTTCCAACGACCTTCGGTGTTGTATCGTGGGTGGCCGCCCATGGGTTATGCCTGGACTGAGCCTGCCAGACTACACGATAGGGAGAAGACAGAGAACTGGGACACGGCTGTATTGCCGGGACAAAACATACAGAGCGTCTGCGTAAATATATAGGATGACCAACTGGCCAAATATGGTCGTTCACTTGTTCGCTCCGTACAGCCAATGGTGGTGTTCCGGTCGTGAGCAATCTCAGGCCCACTACGCTGGTCGTATGTTGCTAAGCCGTGTTTGGTGGGAGCCGCCGACTCACCTACTTTCCGGGCGTGTCGAACCGATGGTGAACTTGGGGATGCTTCACTCTCTGCGCATGTGCTTCTTCTCATGTGCTTTTTCTTCTGTCTGGGCGCGCCCTGATATTCGGTGAGGTTTCTGAGACAAAGAATCTTACTCAGCACCCTGATCGTCCTCCAGTTTATGTCTGGGTGCCCTAACAGTACCTTAATCCAAAATATATGCATTGAATTGACAAACAAAACTGCCCTTATGGTATATCGACCGTCACGTGGTAGCATAAGCCGGGGAGCCTTACTCGCTTCATACCCCAAAGCAAATACATGCAAATTCTGACGTTTGTCATCGTTCTCCGCTTTAATCTCTTACCTTTCAACCTGTCCCTCTTGGCACTCACGCAGATCCAAGCCACGCGACAATAAAATCCACCACTTGCGCGCCACCGCTGTGCGTCCGCTATCCACACTTCCCCATCGTTTTTATGTCAACCGTTAAAGTCAGGATTCTCAGGCGAATTGCATCAACGCCGACTAGTTACTTTTTGGTTGATGTTTACTATGTCTGTCAAACTCGAATACAGAATCCAGGTGTAGATGTTGAGATAACGGCGCCTTCACCACATCGGTGCTACAAACTAAAAAATACGAGTAAGCCTATAGCGGCTGCACCGAGTAGCAATGATCTTCGTGTAACTCAGAGTTCACTAGCTGAGGCTCCATTGTTCGACTGGCTACCTGTAAAAAGACGACTGTAACGTCTGACACTCACCTGTTGAAATATTGAACGCAATTTGCTTGTCGTATCAGTCTATGCATCAACAGAACGTAGCACCGATTCATTGAAAGATAAAGTTCTGGAACTGATCATCCATTTGTTCACCATGAAGTGTTCGGAAATATACAAGGTAACAGGATATCCAGATAAACAGGTACGACAAGCACGTCTTGGAGATATGTTTGGTCTGCGTGCAAGACTCAATGAGGAAAGTAAACGACTTTTGTAACTTTGCTTCTCAGCAGCTCTAGGTCTAGATCTAATGGGCTCTGTTATGCCACCCACTGTACCCCTCTGCCAAACAAAAGTAACCAGAGCGCCTTCAGGCATCGACGGCGTGGTTGTTGACAATCACTTCCAAATACACAGCTCGGTTAAGGAATAATCCAGAAATGGACTCCTCATTTAGCAGTGAAGGACCGCCGTAAACCACAAGTTAGGAAAATATATATCACATCTATCTCGATATGTAATGTATTACGAGCGGCATCCTTCGAACACACTGGCTGTAACTGGGACGGGATAAACAAAGGATATACGTGATGTCGCGAACCATGTTGGTAAAGTTTCCGAGCGCGTACGCGGAAGTCGTCGAATCTCAGAATGATCGCCATCACTCCTTGCTGCAAGACACGCCCTTTCTTTCAGAGTCAAGGTACAGTTTGGCTAGGTGGCACCTTAAATGTGGTCTGCGTGAACAGAGAGACGTGGCAGAATTAGAATGTTCGAGGAACGGGAGAGGCCAGTGAGGTCGGGAAACGACTGAGGATGCTCCAGCTAACCCGCAAAAACAAGACTTTTGGCGAATGCTTCACGGAGGAATAAAGGTAACCAAGGTCATTTCGCGTGCTATGGGATCTCCGCGCATTCCTGATTACGGTCCGAGTGTTCCTGCACGTGGCTGGAAAACTTGCACGCAACCGATCCAAATGACTCACGTGTTGTCGTTTCCCAGCCGAACTGCTTAGGTGAAGCTTGCCAGTCTTTATGAGTTGGACTTGCATCGGATAAAGTTCAAAAAGGACGCTGATGACTTCGATAATTACATTCATTTACAAATCACTTTGGTTTTAACGGGAGACTCAATTAAACCTCTCGTTTATTATGTTCTTCAACTGATTGTGCTGCATACAGGCCGCCTCATGTTTCAGTTGGCACGATATTCTTGCTGAAAACTCTTCAAAAGCCCACGACCGGTTTCGCCCTTCTTGGGGACTGCGCCTACCTGGTGAGCCCTAAGAAGGGCGAAACCGGTCGTGGGCTGTCCGAGAGTTTTCGGCAAACTTGTGAGTGGTTTCTTTCAGGGAAATCATTGTTCTTCCCAAACTCCACTCCTGAGGTTATTTATCTTCAAATTCTAACGGATGGAAATCAGCTGTTTATCTGACACTTTCTGAGTGAAAGATCGAAGGTCATCTCTGTCAGTGCCCGAAGACGCACTTTGACTGTTAAAAGTCATTGCCGTGATGTGTTTCCTCAAG